AATTTGGCGCAAATTTGTCAAAATTCCGACGCAAAAATTTGAAAGCCAACTTACCGTCATCAACCCGTGCTCTGTTCTCTGATAAAGCACGCACTTTCAACCAATCAGAGCGCGCGTTATATGGAAACTTTATTATAAATCTTATTAAACAGGATTCCCTCAGTGTAATCACTAATAATATACCATGAGTATATTCAGTAATAGGATATCATTAGTAAAGTAGCACGTGATCACTATACTATTAAACAGGATACCCTCGGTATAACCAGTAATGTACCCTTAGTATAATCAGTAATATACCATCATTATAAACAGTAATAATACACCATTAGTAAAGTAGCACATGATTACAATATTATTAAACAGGATACTCTCAGTACAATCAGTATTATACCATGAGTATAATCAGTAAAAACATACCATGAGTAAAGCAGCACATGATCACAACATTATGAAACAGGATAACCTCAGTACAATCAGTAGTAATTAATTACCATCAAGTACAATACACCTGTCAACTTTTTTTCAGTAAAATGCGTGAGATTTTTCGTCTCCACAGAACCTGAATTTCCGAAGATTTACCAACGACTTCCGAAGATTGCCGAAGATTTCCAAAGATTGCCGAAGATTACCGACGATGTCCGAAGATTGCCAAAGATTTCCCGACAACTTCCGAAGATAACCGAAGGTGTAAAAAGATTTTCGACGACTTAACCATGACAAAGTAAACCGGAAACGTGTCACGTCACACAATCTAAACACGAGTTGGTGTCCCAAACTCAATACACATAACGGAGTGAGCTTGAAGATGATTTTTGGCTGGACTCACCAACTGTTTTTCGCTAAAAAAAAAAAATCAGCTTTTAAGCAATTACACTCGCTATTGTCAGTTAGGCGTGAGAAATTGGTCTGAATGCGTGAGATCACAATTTTAGATCCTCAGGCGTGAGACTCACGCATAATGCGCGAGAGTTGGCAGGTCTAGTACAATCAGTAACAATATACCATCATAATAATCAGTAATATTATATACCACGAGTAAAGAAGCTCGTGATCAAAATATTATTAAACAGGATAACCTCAGTGTAATCAGAAACAATATACCACGTGTAGAGTAGCACGTGATCACAATATTATTAAACAGGATACCCTCAGTACAACTAATATTATTATTTGCCAAAGGTAAAGTGAACATTGGTGAATATTCACTGAGACAAAGTCAAGGTCGAGAAGTTGACCAAGTCAAGAAGTGAATATAAGAATTGGAGATTCTGATTGGTCAAAAAGCTTATTATATTACACTATATTCACCTTGCTAGCGCTTGGTTACTAAGCTCACCATCTTTGCCATCTCGACAAGTAAACATGGTGGACAGTTGCTGAATGAATGATATTTGAAAAGATGGAGAATTTTCAAAATGACTGCAGTCGCCCTTGGACCAAAAATCTTTTCAAGAACTTGTATTCAAGGCTTTTAAGAATGGTAAATGCAGTGGTTGCATCAATTGCCAACAGGTCAGATCAACTGACCGAAATTTATTTTTCTTCAAATTAAAGCTACTCATTTTTAAGCGATGATGACAACTGTGAATGAAGTCAACAATGATAAAACAAAGGCACCAGATGAATTTATTTTTAGTATTGTTTCACTCGTTTATTTTACTGCCAAACTCAATAAGTAAATTGATTGATTATCAGTGTACATGTAAGCTTATTATCAAAACTACGGCTGCATACATGTATGCACACTAACAATTGCATCTGTGTCTTTATGTTTTAGTCCATTATTTTGTAGTCCTTGATATTCTGACCTCTGAAAATTATACTAATCACTAATAATATAACATGAGTGTGATTTTTGACCATAACCCTAAGTGGGTATAGGGTATATCAGTAAAGTCAGTAATAATATACTATGAGTAAAGTAGCACACGATCACAATGTTATTAAACAGGATCACCTCAGTATAATCAGTAATAATATACTATGAGTAGAGTGGCACATGATCACAATATTCTTACACCGGATACCATCAGTATAATCAGTAATAATACACCCGCAGTATAATCAGTAATAATATACCACAAGTAAAATCAGTAATAATTTACTACCAGTAAAGTAGCACACGATCACAATGTTATTAAACAGGATCACCTCAGTATAATCAGTAATAATATACCATGAGTAAAGTAGCATGTGATCACAACACAATTAGAGAGGATACTTTCAGTATAGTGAGTTATCAGTGTACCATATTTAAATAGTACACACTCGGACACTGACCATCAGTACTATCAGAGTAATCGGTGATGTGCAGGTACCATCACTAATCAATGTCCCATGAGCCACTCAACTTGGAAAATGGATCATCTGTAAACACTGGCAAGTCCTTGAATTGTTAACATCATTGAAAAGCAAATTTTGGTCTATTACAGTGCAAAAAAATGTTTTCAATATTTTTGCTTTATTTCAGAGTCACATTCATGTACTTAGATCAAAACAGGTGGATAGCTTATATATCTAGGTCAATTTATGTGACACTGTTTAAAACATTCATGAAGTCATCCTACTCCGAGACATTACCAACCCTTGTATATGATCACCAAGGCCTAACTGGATGGATGACCAAGTAATAAAATCCCGTACTACAGGTTCTCATTTTCTTTTCTAAACCAGGATGTACAAATTAATTCTCACCTGCCTTTTAACAAAAGGAAAATTAAGTTAAACTGCTTTTTGTACCAGTAAAGATTACATATCAAAAAAACGTGACATTCCCTATGCCATATGCGTTACATTATGCATTATTATTTTCACCCCAACCAACCTAACCTCTACCTACATCCCTAACCCTTAACACTAAACCCTACTCCAAAGTATTAACTCTACACCATATCATATCCCTTTTTGAAGCCTGGCCCAGTTCCCTATCCTCAACCCTATATTAGTAAACGCTCTCTATATGCAGGGAATTCTTTGATTTGTCTATTCATTCCTTTTCATTTACACAACACAAAACATGTTACATCAAATGCTTGTCATGGCTAGCCTCCTCTTTGGCCATGCCAGAGCTATATCCTGTAAGATGTCAATAGTAAGGCAACATAAGATTATAAACAACAAATTGAGCAATTTCTATAAGCGCTAGTGCTTGGGGCAAAAATGAACAGTTCGGGTACAAAACTAATACAAGGACCTCAAGTAGTGCATATCTAATGAAACAAATTAAGGAGCTCCTTCAAAGGAATTATATTGTAAAATGAAACTCTACATCAATGCAATTGTGTATCATCTGTGATGCCATACTGCTCCATCCTACAACCTTTCATGCAGCATTTGTTGTTCAGTTAATTTATATACTTGAAAAAACAATACACAAAACTGATAAATGAATTAGAACTAAAAAAATATTTCTAAGAACATACCTACGGTAGGGCGATTTACTTTGGTATCCAAGAGTTGGCAAATCTATGGCTGCATACAGTTCTAAAAAAATCCACTTGGGTTAAAAAACAGTTTCCATTAGACTTAATTTACTTGATGTCAAGAACAAAGGAGCTTTAAACTTGATGACTTTTGTAATGTCCTAACGTTTGACATTCAAACAGAAAGTGATTCTGCTGTATTAAATGTTGACAATTGTTAAAAGTTACTGTCAGTCATTTAGTAGGTTGCTGGATTGCTTGGTCAATAATGCAAAAAAGTTGTTATTAACCTTATATAGTTCTATCACACTTCTGGATATAGATATTCTTTATGTACTTCACCTGTTAAATCAATTCATCCATTGTGTCATTCCTATATATCTCAGAAGAGTCACACCCGCAACTGCAAGTTGGATGTACACCTTAATCAAAGACAACAAAAACTGACATTTTACAGACCATAAATGACTTAACTGACCAAGACTGTGATCAAATAAATTACCCTCCTAAAAAATTCTATCTCAACAATAACAATTAAATCTTCTACTAAATAAACACAACAAAAAAAGGTTGTCACCGTTAATTTTTTTAATATAAATTTGTGATTTGTGATATTGTTGGTTAAGTGAAGAAATGATCTTCACTTAACCAACAATACAGAGACGTTAGCTTCAAAACTACTCTAACAGACATATTCAGGGAATCTGAATAACAACTTAGGATGAATATTGAAAAAGATTCTATACACCTTACCTAGTTCCCCTTGCCCTTCTGTTGCTGTTAGTGTGGCAAAACAGATGATCCAGATGTAGAAAATGTCTTGATACTCGAAGAGAGAACAATTAATAAATGTTCCTTATAAATGTAAACTCGGTCCTGAAAACAACCTAAACAACACAGCGTTAATAATGAATTAGGAACTCTTTCCTCATCTATATATCTTCCTTTGCACCATGAGTCACTGCCTGGTTTTAAATACTTGTCAGTTGTATTGATATTGGTAATAAAAATAATCGTTACCTATAGCTACTAATGAGTGTCATAAATTCAATGCATTTTCCTCAAGCTGTTGATGAACAACTGCCAGGGTATCACCATCCAACTCCTGAGAAGAAACTGTTATTTTTTCACTGTTTCTTGTGCAAGGCACAAGGGCTTTGTGGTTAGTTCGCTTGTCTCCAAATCAAGCGATCTGGATTCGATCCATGATGCTGTGTCCTTTGGCAAGACACGAGTTTTATAAACCCGCGAGCCAGCTAGCGAGCCATGCGAGCCAAGGGGCGAG